CCAGCCTGGGCAACATAGTAAGGTCCTGTCTCTACAAAAAAAAAAATAAAATTTGAGCCAGGCGTGGTGGTGCGCACCGGTAGTCCCAGCCACTTGGGAGGCTGAGGCAGAAGGATCACCTGAGCTTAGGAGGGCCGGGCCAGGCTGCAGCTAGCTGTGATTGTGCCAATGTGCTTCAGCCTGGGTGACAGGGTAACTTAGAAAAACAAAACAAAACTGGAAAACAAAAGCACTCCTTATGGAAACGTAAAATGGTGGTGACAGTCTTAACCAAAAAAATCTGGGCGCGTTCATTGGCATGCCGATTAACACCTGCATTTGCATAGCGGTCATCTCTCCAAGCTCCTTTGTTTGACGTGAACTCAGTGCCCTCTCGAAAGGATCTTGCTCAGTAGACATCACTGGGGCCCATTTTGCAGGTGAAAACGTTGAGGCCCATGTGTACTGTGTCACCCATGGTCACACGAGACGTTGGCAGGGCTGGGCTCTGGACCCGGGTCTCCTGTCGGTCCCTCCTCAGGCCACCCCGGTGTCTCTCACGGTTTACACGTGGCAATCGGGAGGGCGGCCCTTCACGCCTCTCTCATCATTCGTGAGACCCAGAGATAGAAACCCAGTGCCGTCAGAGGTGATCTCGGGCAGTGCCCACCTGAGGGGGTGAGCTCTGTGGCTGGTTGAGAGCCCGAGGAGTTGCTTTTCTGCCCTGAGAGGAGCTGAAGTCTTATGCCTCGGCTGTGGGTTGCAGGCCCATCAGGACTCAGAAAAGACGAACCCCTCCCTGCTTCTTTTGATAAGGCAGAGCGTCTGTGCGTCCTTGAAGTTTAAAAAAGTTGTGTGTGTGCTCTCGGCTTATTTAGCAAGTCAGACCTGTTTGTTCCAAGACAGCAACAGTACCTCGTGTGGCCTTTCTGGAAGTCACCTGCTGCTTTCAGGAGCTGCAAAAGTCCCCCGGGAGACTCAAGACTCTTCAGAACATGGGGGCTGGCTGCTGGAGTCATGTGACCCAGGGCGGGAGGGTGCTGATGAGGCCAAGGTCACAGGGCGCGGTAGAGAAAGTCCCTACCCCCAGCGCAGGCCTGCCTCCTGGCTTGGCAGTGCCCCCCAGACGAGCAGCTGCTGGCGAGGAAGCTCCTGGAAGTCCCTCTGGCCAGCCCCCTCACCGGCTCAGCACGGTCTTGCCTCTTGGGTCTTCGAGAAACCCTCCGGCCCTTGTCTGAGGCCTGTCCCTTGTCCTCCCTCTGTGCAGGAGGGGCTGCCTCTGCGCCCCGCTGTCCTGCACTCTGGGCCCAGCCTCTCCCTCCCGTGTCAGTAACTGGTGTGCTCTGTCTCCCCTACCATTGTGTAAGTACCCTCAGGTGCTTAACAACTGAGAAGGGGCTAGGCGTGGTGGCTCATACCTGTAATCCGCAGCATTTGGAAGGCCAAGATGGGAGGATTGCTTGAACTCAGGAGTTCGAGACCAGCCTGGGCCTCATCTCCACACAGAATTTAAAAAATAATAATAATAAGCTGGGCGTGTTGGCGTGTACCTGCAGTCCTCGATACTCAGGAGGCTGAGGCGGGAGGACTGCCTGAGCCCAGGAGGTCGAGGCTGTAGGAAGCCGTGATCATGCTGTTGCACTCCAGCCTGGGTGACAGAGTGAGATCCTGACTCAAAAAAAAAAAGGAAACAAAAGAAAGAAAGGCAGCAGACCTCCCCTCCACCTTCCTCGGCTTCTCTGGGAACTCTAGAACTCTCTTCCCCGTCCTCAGCTGCGTCTCGACCATGAGCCTGGGATCTCCTTCTCCGTTTCCTTCCCTGCTTGTGCAGGCCTCTGGGGGTGCTCCGTGCCCCCGGTTAGCAGGCCTCCTCGGGCCTCCTCCGGCCTCGTCCTGGACAGCCTTTCCGCGTCACGATTGCAGCTGCCTGTGGATTCCCTGGGGACGCTGTCCTCCGTGCTCCCAGCTGGGCTTCGCGGTCCGAGCCCGGGGCAGGGTCTGCCCGCCACCCCCTGCGGCGCTGGACTCCTCACGGCGGCCGTTCCCACCCAGCCCGCCCTCCTGGGCTTGCTCCCACTGTCCCCGAGCCCAGATGGCGCCCCCTGGGCTCCCCTTTCTGTGTGGCCCTGGAGTCCGTCTGGGTGGAGGACAGCATGTGTGTGTCCTAAGAGTTGCTGGCAGCGCAAGCGATCACAGCAGGCCCCTCCCGTGAGAAAACGCACGCGTTCGCCTCTGTAGGAGAAGCCATCCGTTCTCATAAACTCTGCTGTTTAGATTAATCTCGTGTGCGATTTCTGAGCAAGGACACGGGCCGAGTTGGATTAGCGCGATTTCCCACTCCCTGCACCTCTCCCCTACTTTCCAGGTGGATGAGACTGGGCAGCGGCCGCCGAGGGTCTGGGCGGTGGCCTGGCCCCTCAGCCCGATTTGCCCTCGGGCCTTTGCGGTCCTTGGCCATGCGTTGGCTCCTGGAGAGGGCCAGCAAAGTGTCCTTGGGATCTGGCCCGGAAACACGTGTTTCTCACGGGAAAGGTGTCTCGAGCAGGAATGGGCCTATCTGCATGTCAAAGAGCCGCAGTTTTTATGTGTCTTGAGAGGTATTTTGACAGGAGCGTTCAGATAAGGAACTTCTTTCTCTTCAGGCTTCGGTTTCGCGTGGAATCGTTTTTGAATGGGGCATCCGTTCTTATCCTGGGATACACGATTTAGTTTTTTTCCCATTGATTTAGTTCCTGTTACTTTGAAATTTATTTCTTTGGGGGAAATAAAAACACTTTTTCTGCGCAAGGTGCTACGAAGCCGTTTAGCTGCAGGTGCACCTCGGGTCGGGGCGTTACAGGTATCGTGTGTGCTCTGGGGTTGCCATGGGTGACCTTCATTCGGTGGAACTGGTTACGTCCCCTTCGACAGGCACTAGTGCAGGCCTGTTCCTGTCACGGACATCTGTCTCTGACACCGGAAAAAGGCCGAGAAGGCAGTGTCTGTGGGAGCTCCCGGCCCTCCGCTCTGCCTTCCCCGCTGGGGATGTCGGCCTTCACTGCAGGGCTCTTGCCAGTGAAAGCCTGGCATCGGCAGGAGTCCCGGGTGCCCAGCAGCGGGTACTCAGACTGGGAGGACAGGGCCTGCGGGGTCAGCAGAGGCGGGTGTGATGTGGCCGGGTGGAGAGGCCGCCCCCCGTGGGAGAAACCCCGGGAAGCCTTCATTTGGGGCACTGGCCTGGCTGGTTTTGCAGTGGGGTGCGGAAGAAGGGTTGGAAGCAGTGAAGTGTCACACCCCACTGCACCGACCCTCTTTCTGTCCTGAAGCAGGCTTGGTGGGACAGGTCTCTCTGGCCTGGTGGTCCTGGCCTGTGCGGTGACAGTGAAGATCATCACAAAGTCTATCTTCTGTGACCTGCTCTTGGAGAGCATAGTGGTCATGGGTGTCCTTGAGCCATAGAATCAGATGACGAGAGAGCCTTGGTCCTGGGAAGAGGGGGCGCTGGAGGTGAGCAGCCGATCCGGCCTTGCTGTTTTGGGGAAAAAAGTCCCAGGTGTCGGAATGTGCAGCTTCTCCGTCCCGAACCTGTTGGCCAGTGATCCAAGGATCATTGGAGGCCAGAACGAGGGACACAGATTTCACTCCTTAACCCTTCAAAGAGATCTTGGCAAAAACAAAGCAAAACAAAACATAGCAGACTATGGATTTAATTTTGTTAACACTGAGGTTGGCTGGGTGTGGTGGCTCACACCTGCCATCCCAGCACTTTGGGAGGCTGAGGTGGAAGGATTGCTTGAGCCCAGGAGTTCAAGACTAGCCTGGATGACTGTAGCGAGACCTCGCCTCTATAAAAAGTCAAAAAAATTAGCCAGTCACGGTGGCACATGTGTGTAGTCCCAGCTATTGTGAGGCTGAGGAGGGAGGATCACCTCAGCCCAGCAGGTTGAGGCTTCAGTGAGCTGCGATCGTGCCACTGCACTCCAGCCTGGGCAACAGTATGAGATTCCAACTCAGAAAAAGAAAAAAACAGAACAACACTGAGGTTGACAGACTTCTAGAGGAAGTGTTTGTGTGTGGGGGAGGGAACGTACGATGTGCATGTTTGCGAAAAGTGAAACCCGTTGCCACAGGGATGGTTGACGGGTGGGTGGGTGGCTTGTTCGGTGGCCGTTGGCCCTTTGAGTGTGGCCTGTGCTTCAGTGCAGGGTGTTGCCACCCCGTGATGGGTGCTGAGAGGCGAGGGTGCTCCTCCCCGGCCATCAATCAGGAAGCCACAGCAGGTGCCCCCACTGGCCACAGTCAGGAGCGGCCCAGGCCCGGCAGCCCCTTTGCAAGCAGACCCTGGGAGGAACTCCGTGGGTGCCCTTTGGCACTCACTTGGTCCTGATGGCGCCCGTGGGCATGCAGACTGAGTCCTTGCCTCATGGAAGCCAGGGCAGGGAGTGGCTCAGGGGCGGAGCCAGAGGAGGGCGGGGGCTTCGCCCCCCACTCCGTGGCTCCCCGCGCGGGGCTCACCCCTGTCTGCTATCATTAAAGCAAAACTGGAAACCGACGCCGGTTGACCTTCAAGGACAGACCACAGGTTCAACCCCTGCATCCAACCCCAGTAGCAGTCTCTGCAGGGGAATTTTCTTCTAGTATGAACTGCGCTTTCCATTTTATCTACACAGTTCAGATTTATTTTAACATTTTTTGAAAGCAGCCCTGGTTGATTTTTGCATTTAAAATGAGGGCGATACGTATAATTATTTACAAAATTTTCAAATGTTCTATGTAAAGGAAATGAATTTCTGATGATGAAATTATTTGTGTGCCAAAAAAGAAATGACGTGTGAGATTTTGTGGGTGTGGGCATATGTTTCCAAGAAGATTTCGTCAGATTTTCAAAGGGTCTGAAATCAAACAAGCAGCTGAACAAGGAGTGCAGAGAACCAGGGGTGCAGAGAACATGGGGTGCAGAGCAGGACCCTGGTCCCCGGCCAGGCCTACCCAGAGCAGCGACAGCCTGCTAGGAGCCTGCCTCCTGCACCCCGATCTTTGAGGGGGCCAGAAGGGAGAAGGACAAGATGGAAGGTAGGCCTGGATGGGAAGGAGTCGATGCCAGTGGGTGCCCATCGTGTCCAGGCCCAGCCGAGGCACCACTAACATCTGTTTTGGCAAAAGTCACCTGGGTCCACCTCGAGAGGCTTCTGGGAGAGAAGGGTTACTCGTAGTGGTCGCGGGCCTGCGTCCTTTCTGTGGGCTCCTTCCTCCATTTAAAAAAAAATTGTATTTTGTGACTGCTGGTATAAAGTCAAACCTATTATTATTCTGTATTAAAACACTTTACTTGACCTTACGTTCCTTTAGTTCTTTTGCTTTCAAAAGAAATGAAACATCGGGCCTGAAAGTACCAGTCTGGCTGTCAGTCCTCAGGCCTTGAGTGTGGGTCTGCTGTGCCCAGTGGCTGGTGACCTGATGTGTGCAGATGGCTCCGGGGCGTTTCTCTCCCGTGTGCAAGGAAGGTGTGGAATCCGTGTAGGACTGTGTTCTTACTCTCCCTCCGATGATTTTGAATAACGTTGAGAGAAGTCATAAGCATATCATGCGTTTAAATTTTGAGGACAGGGAATTTTGCATTAGTTGATATGGAACTTATGTCTCCAATTTAGATTTATTGTATTGTTAATTTTTGCAAAGATGTTCATTTTCAAAATTTTAATCCAATCTGAGGTTTTTAGGATTTAAATTTGAGTATCTTAACATCAGTAGTAACTATTTGACAGCGTTTAAAAAGATTTACTCTTCTGAGTATATTTGCAATGAAAAATATTTTAATTAATTAAATTTATTTTGTGAATATATGTCACACTTTTTACATAATAACTTATTACATTATAGAATGAATTGACCTTACGTAAGAACTTACATATGACTCTTCCTGATTCTGAGAAGTTTTCTATTAATTTTTTGAGTAAAAATCTATTTTAAAAGGTAACAGGCAGTAATTTGTGATGAGGGAATTTCAGAGTGGCCGGGAAAAGTGAACTAAAAATAGAAACTGTTTATTTACTCTCAGCCCCACCCTGTCTAAGCGCTGCCTTGTGGTTGCCAGCTTCCACAGGGAAGGCCAGTGCTGACTCGGAAGGCGGTTTTTTCCTGGTTGCAGAGTTCAGGGATTATTCTTACAACTTCTGAGTCCTGTTTCCTATCTTCAGCAGCTCAGATAAATTATTTTCGCACGCTGCTATCTGAATGAATTTGACCAAGTGGGCTTAGTTTTCAGTTCCTTACCGTCCTCCTTTCTGCTTGTACATTTCATCCAGACTCTGCTTCATGAGAGGAAATTTTGAGATTGTGGGTTTTGCTGATAATTAATACTCTCAAAACTCGTCAGTTTATAATTTTAAGTTTTCCCGTGTTTTTCATGCTAGTCTGAAAAGACAGTGACTCATCTGTCCATTGCTTTAAAAGGGTCTAGATGGTGACTCTTGTTCTTGGGTGGATCATGAATTGGTTTGAGTGGTGACTCTAATTCATAGGTGAATTATGAATTGGTCTAGATAGGACTCCAGTTCTTGTGTGGATTATGAATTGGTCTGAATGGCGACTCCAGTTCTTGAGTGGATTATAGATTGGTCTAGATGGTGACTCTAGTTCTTGGGTGGAATATGAACTGGTCCATGTGGTGACTCTAGTTCTTGAGTGGATAATGAATTGGTCTGAATGGTGACTCTAGCTCTTGAGTTTATTATGAACAGGTCTGGGTGGTGACTCTAGTTCTTGGGTGGAGTATGAATTGGTCTAGATGGTGACCTTAGTCTTGAGCAGGCCCATCACCTGGGAAAGATGCAGCTTTTATAGGCGTGAACGTTAATCAGACAAGCCTGTGCTGTGTGTCGTGGGTGATGGGAGTCATGGAGAAGAGGTGCCACCGCTGGAGAGGCACCCAACGGTGCCAGGTGTGGGTCAGTCGCACTTTTTGCCAGGCAGGTGAAGCGCCCAGCAGTGCTCAGGACCCATGGCTCAGCACTGTGGCTCCGAGGGCAAGGTGCCAGGGCTCCCCAGAGCACTGGGTCATCTCTGAGCCGGTGTTTCCTCCTCTCTAAAAGGTGTTGTAGGGTGGGATTGACTTCCCTGGGTCTTAAGAGAATTAACTGAGATTGCGTGTGTGAAAATCAGCTTTCTGTAAGCGTTAGGATGTCCTGTGTTACCCTGCACAAGAGCGGGCGTCCACCCTGGCCAGGAGTCATGCCTGGAGGTGGCATGGCTGCTCACCTTCCTCCTGTGTGGCAGCACGAGAGACGTGCCAATCAGCTACTCCATTGTGTGCCAACTTCTTGTATTTCCCAACAAATCTAATGGATCTTCACCACATTCTTACCCTACTGACGTATGTCAGCTTCAGTACTTTATTCCAGATTATACTAAAGCAAAGCTAACACTGCGGGCTGATCTGGCAGTTTGTCACTTCTGTTGTGTGTTTCCCTCCTTCTCCTTCATGGCTTCGCTCTCTCTCTTTTTCTGAATCAGAGTCCTACTCTGTTGCTCAGGCTGGAGTGCAGGGGCACGCTCACGGCTATCACAGCCTTGACCTGCTGGGCTCAGGTGATCCTTCTGCCTCAGCCTTCTAAGTAGCTGGACTACAGGTGTGCACCACCATGCCCGGCTAATTTTTGATTTCTTGTAGAAATGAGGTCTTGCCAAGTTGCCCAGGCTGCCTTCAAACTCCTGGGTTCAAACGATCCTTCTCCCTGGGCCTCCAGAGTGCTGGGATTATAGGTGTGAGCCACCGCGCCTCGCCTCCCTTTAAACTATTATGAGAAATAGCCGCAGAGTGAGAGAGGAAAGTGTCCTAGAGAGGGTGGCACAGTGAGCCCTTAGACCCACCTCTGGCACTTACCAGCCCAAGGCCAGTCTTATTTCCTCTGTGTTCTGCCTCCTCATCCCCCATCCTGTGCTGTCTTTTTTTATTTTTATTTTTTGAGTCGGAGCCTCACTCCGTCGCCCAAGCTGGAGTGCAGTGGGACACTCCCGGCCACCGCAGCCTCGACCTGCTGGGCTCCAGCGATCCTTCCGCCTCAGCCTTCCAAGTAGCCGGAACTACAAGTGCGCTACCACGCCCGGCTGGTTTTTGATTTATTGTAGAGACGAGGTCTCGCCAAGTTGCCCAGACGAATCTCGAACCCCTGGGCTCAGGCAGTCCTCTCGCCTCGGCCTCCCAAAGTGCTGGGATGACAGGCTTGAGCCACCGGGCCTGGCCCTGTGTTGTCTGAAGGCAAATCCCAGACACCGTATTACCCATCCAGACACGATATCATGATTCCTAAAAATTCCCAGGGATTCCTTGGTTTCATCAAATATCAAGTCAGTGTTCAGACCCCCTTGTAAAAGGCATAGCTGCAAAAAGCTAGCTTATTTAAGTCGGGGTCCAGATGGGGTCCCACTCATTCCGTTGCCGGGTGTGTCTCTTGTTGCTTTCCGTGTCCCACGTGCCAGTCGTCATTGCCCGAGGGCGGAAGGACATGACGTCCCTGGTCAGCCAGGACCTGAGAAGCCAACGCTCGGGGCAGCCAGGAGTTGGACCCCCTCCCCTTCTGCTGCTCAGAGAGGTGGGTGGAGAATTTCCAGGCACAAGGAGCAGCCTGAGTAGACACCCTGTTGGTGGCCCAGCTCAGGTGCCTGGTGGACGACAGGCTGGCTGTCATGGAGGCGGGTGGCCTCAGGGCGGGGGCTCCCGCTTATGGTGTGTTAACCCTTCTTGGTGTTGGGCTTAAAAGTAGCTTGTTCATTCAGGTGAAGATGAAATTAGTAACATGGTGACGGTTGCAGAGACCATTGGAGATGCACAGTGCATCGGCTCAACGTGCATTCTCTGGGAATGCCTCACGTGGAGAGCTAAGGTCAAGTGTGAGAAGCACTGGGGTGTCTTAGGTTGGCTGGACATTTGGAACGGAGTGTGCATCAGCCCTCTTCCTCCTCCCCTTTCATTATAGAAGTAACGATCGTGTGTGCTGACATCCCCGAGGGACGCTCCGAGGGCAGAGCGTGGCTGTCACCTGCTCCAGGAATGGCGCACGTGGGCTTCCGTGGTCCTGCTGCTGTACTGGGAAAAGCAGACATGTTTTGCTTAATCGCGAGAGCGGTGTTTTTGTGAGCTTTCCCCCCTTAAGTTTAAAACATTTAAAGTCACTCTGGCTGTTTGAGGGCTGAGTTCTTGGGGGTGGGAACTCGAAATGTCCATTCTCAGCATGCAGGTTTCTGCTGTTTCTCAATGGGAGAGACCTGGGTTCGAATCCTAGCTCTGCCACTTACTGCTTGTTGGGTGGGTCCCACGGTGTCTCGTAGCTTCTCATCTAGGAGAGGGGGCTACTGAGAGTGCTCCTTCAAGGACTGGGTGCCGATTAAACGAGAATGGATCTGGCGTTTAGCATGGACTTGGTGCACCCAAGCATTCAGTGGGTTTTGGATCATTCTTATCTCCTTGCGGCTAGTGTTTTCATCTGAAATAGCTTTCAGGATCATGATTTAAGGTCCACCAAGCAGATGATGGCTGGTCAAGAGGATTAGGGACAAGGATGCTAACTCTATGTATCCTGGGTCTGAAATTCGCACAAGTCAGACCTCTTTCTAGATTCTGTCATTTCCTGTATATTCTACAGCCAAGCAAATATTTCTCTGGAGTCGCCAATCCAGTTCAGCAAAAGCCAGGAATACGTCGAAAATAATTCAGTCTTTTCTGCTTTACAGCAGCCTATTCTGGTTTAAACGCCGTCTCTTTTAGATCATTGGGACACTGAGAGCCCAGGGTGGTTTCCTCCCCTTAAAGGGTCTTCCCCTCCACCCCCAGGAAGCTGGAGGACTGGCCTGATTCATGGCCGTTGTCGGGATTCGGCCAGGGCCTGCCATGATGGCGTCGCCCCCAGATCCCGCTTTCCCCGCGTTACCAACATGAGCCGGCGGCCCTGCCCAGGCCGGGCTCTCCATTCAGCTGAACGACCTCCCGCCTCGTGGCATGTGGCTCCTTTGCAAGCTGCTCTGCCAGCCCTCCTTAATGCTCATCCTCACGCTCCTGGATTCTTCCCTCTTTCCGT